CTACCCCCTACAGGGAAGAATAAAACCATTCGCAACTTAAATCGACTTGATTGCCAAATGGCATTAGTTCCTCATAGTTCCTCATTAGTTTATCATATTCCTAGGATGGACCACCACAGGGATTGGTAAGACACACATGTTCTGCTCCCGAAAACATTTTATGGTACCATTCATTAGTTCGGACAAAACCAGTTGAAATTATCTCCTCAGCAACGTGGTGGTATTCATGCGGATGAAGATGATATTTTCGGTACTCCATGGTCTTGAGAATACGATTGGTCTTACGGCGCACGGATTGTGTATGCTTGCGTGGGTGTTTGTGTACATGTAAGTCGAAACAGGAGAATGTGATGCGATGCTCAACATTGGAGGAAAAGGGAACGTGCACACACACACACTGGAATCGACAACATAACTAAAAAAAACCAAGACTTAATAATGACACGAGAATATATAAATGTATGTATAATGTATATGTGTATCTTTGGGACAGAAAACAAAAATCAAAAAAACAACGCAAAGTAGTAGCAGGGATAGAGAATGAGATTACTAAACGGGACAAATGTATGCACCTTGTTGGTTAGGTGAGAAAGTGTGTTCAGGTGTTGGAAACAGAAACAAAAACACAATGGGAATAAACTGAAAAAATTACAGTCACAGAAGACAAAAAGTATGTTTCATTGTAGGAATACAAGAAAGAGAGAGGGAGAAAAACGAGTGGAAAAGATCGACAATACGCGGGGATGGAGACACAGCCAAGCGCCACAAAGTGGAGAAAAAACTATCTAAGGTGATCTTCTGGATCGATGATGATGTTGATGAGACGTACTGGAACCAATGAACGGGTGCACAAAATGGAATCAATGGGGTATCAACAATATACCGGAATGTGCATGGAGAACCGGAGCTTTTGACACACGTGGTGCGAGGGGTTTCATCATGAGGTAGGGATGCATAGGATCACAATGAGGACACACCATATGAGAGCGTGAACAGAGAAGACAATCAAGGGGATCCAATGTACTTTCCCGGTCCAAAAGGGGTGGGTTCGACAGGCTTAGGTCATAATGACAAACAACTCAAACAGACANGTGATGCAATAATGCTGATGACAATGTGACAGTGGATAATAGTTGTAATAATAACAAAGGATTTCGTGCGCGTGCAAGTATAAATAGGGGGATGTAAAACAGGACAATGAAAAATGATGGAATCGATAGTTGTTTGTGTTGTTTAACTGCGAAAAGCATGTACAAACTTTGCGGGAAGTTTTTGGAAATGAGACGGGGGGGGCTTGTGTAGTCTAGCTTGCGCAATGTTCCTATTTCAATTTAGTTGTGGATGGTTTTTTTGTGGGCACAAAATACTCAATCCAATCATGACTTGGTAGGTGATCTCAGGTCGCGCCGATAGTGCTGACAGAATCGAGAGCTTAGCATATCCCCCGTTTGACGAGGGACACCAACTCATAGTAGCAACATATTGCACGCACATAGACAGACTCAAAGACGCAGAAAAAAGGCAGAAAACGACAATCGGGCAAAACACAAGACAAAGGCAATCACAGACAACAAAAGAAACAGCACACGAATGCGTACAGTTCAAATGTTTTGATTTGGTTCGCTTGTTATGATTGAGTCATAACATTGTCCAGATACGGTCCAAAACAAATGAAACAGAAAACGTGCATCAAAATATAAGAAACAGAAAAGCAAAACTGTAGCTTCACCCCTACAGACCGAAAAAGCAATTGAGAACAACGTTGTTGATCAGAATTCACGCGTGTGTCTGTACGTGAAGGACGACTACGATCCCCGATGTCTGGCTGTGTATGTGTATTGTGTCAGATTGCATTCCGGATTGTTGGTGTCGTTTTGTTGGTATTGTTGTTAGTGTTGTTTGTGTTGCACATTTTTCGGATTGAATCCACCGGCGCTTGGGTTTCCAGTGAAGAGGGGGAGGTCGGGAGGGAAGGAGAAAAACGATCCAACTCGGAACGTTCATCGGTTCCGAATAGGCATACAGAAATACATGTACTGAATGAGTCCATGCAACCGGATCTGTGCATGTCCGTCCCTGTATGTGGAAAATACAAATTATTACACGTCTCTATGTGCATGCGTCTGCTATGTGTATGCGGGCGCGATACAGTCGACTTCAGAGGGGGAGAGAAAAAGACCAGGTGGATAAACGGGTAGAATCGGGCCTGTGAGTAAGTATGTCGTTTTATGCTTCTCCGTGTGGAGTGTTGTGCTAGATCAACCGGGTAGACTGAGCTTCCAGTGAGCAGTCTGGCAGTGAATATCGAATCACCAGAGTAGTAGGACATTCAGTCACCGAGATGGTGGAGGATGACAGTCACACACGACATTCGAGCACAACTCTAGAGCACTACCGACTTCAGGCGGAATATGAGTTT